AGGGCGAAACCGACTTTCAGTCCAACGAGGAAGTGTCGAGGCAGTCTAAGGAGGTCGCAGCAGCCATCCTGCAGGAGCTCGCCATCTGGGTCAAATTCAAAAGTTTCGAGAGGCGGCCGCTCAAAGGCGCCCGGAACGTAATGGATCCCAGACATGTTTTCAAATGGAAGCACTGGAAAGGATCAGGCGGCAAGATTGTCAGGATCATCCGGTGCCGCCTGGCTCTGAGGGGCTTCCGCGACGTGGGCGCCGGAACCCTGGAGACGTTCGCTGGGGCGGCGAAGCGGGCGTCTCAGCGCTTACTATCCTCAGAGGCGGCGCGTCGCCCCGACTGGGTGTGCGTCGCCGGTGGCGTGGAGCAGGCACTCCTGCGACGCATGCCCTATGCGGAGATGCAGTAGCAAGGCGAAGCACCTCGAGAGGTGAACTGCACCCTGCCACCCGTCAGTGCAGCTATCCTCAGGCAGGTGTCTGGCTGCGAGAGCATCGGGCGAGCGGTCCGAGTGACTCGCCCGCGCTGCATCGAGCTGGGTGCAGGCTGCGAGGGTGCGCCCAGAGCCTAATCAATAGAGCGCTCGCCCAGCTCACGCGCTCGCCTGAGTGCGGCGCCAGACCTGCCAGGGACCTGGAGCTCGAGGTCAAACGCGTGACGTCTGGCAGATGTAGTCTGAGAGCGTCGGCGACCTGAAGATCGCCGGGCAAAAAGGGCGCGTTGACCAGCTAATCGGCCACCTCGAGAGCGTTTTCGGGAAGTGACTGCGACGACTTCACCAACTGCGGAGCGCGCCAGCTCTGCAGTGCCGGCGGCGCCGCGACGTTCGACCAGGACGAGCGCATCGACGCTTTGGTGCCGATCAGGCGCGCCAGCCTGGTCAAGGCCAGGGCTGACGAGCTGGCCACAGGTCAGCTTCCCGACCTCTTTGTCTCCCTCCTGGAAGCAGCGGCTTTCGTCCTGCTCGCCCAGCGCCGCGTCGCAGCGTGCATTGTCGCCGTGCAGAGAGCCGAAAGCTTTTCGGTCGACGCGCGATGCAGCACAACTCCGTTGTTCTAGCCGCGCGCAAGATCAAGGCGCGCGTCGCATCCCCGTGAATGGAAGGTGCCAGGCGGGCGAGTCACCGCGTGCAGCGACGGGTTCTTCGAGGGGGAGGAATCAGGGTGCGGCGTGAGAAGGGGCCATGTACATGCGTCTCGGCAAGTGCCGCCGCACCGGCAAACAGGCGTGCCACTTGTTGGGCGCAGTGGGTCGATCGCGCAAGCTCGTGTGCAGATCTTCATTCGGTTCCGAGCTGCTCGCAGCATGCGGCGCAGCCGACGTTCTGCAGGCGCTCCGCGTCGCGCTGCGCGAGATGGTGCACAGCCCCGCCTCTGCCGAGGAGACCATGGGGGTTTAGAGGGGAGGGGGGATGCGCGGTCCTCGCAGACATCGTCATAGAGGGCGCGTCCGTCTTCGGCGCCCTGCTCATGGGCCCGGTCTGGCCGCCGTCCGACAACAGCTTGGCTGGTCACTTGTGGTTGACCGGCCAGCTGCGCGCCGAGCAGATCGACGACTTGCACTGGTGCGACGCGCGGGACATGCGGGCCGACCCCGTGACAAATGGCAGCCTGGGCCGAGAGCTAATCCTCAGCGTGATGGACCCAGCTAAGCTATGGCCACGCCACGGCCAAGTACAGCGACAAGAGGCTGACGAAGGCCGCCCCCGAGCTCGCAGCATAACCCGCTCACGCAGAAATGAGGAGTTGACGATGACTCTCGTGACTGTGTCACGAGGTCACGCGGAGCGGGTAAGCGGATTTATGCCATCAGTGGGCGAGATCGACGATTCGAGCACTTTGGTGAGCGGGCTGGCCCGACTGTGTTCGGGCAGCTCGCGGATCTTGAGCAGTGCCCTTTCATGGTCTCGCATTGTTTCAGGTGGGCGGATATATTAGCTTGTTTCTGCTACTCCCACGGGCCCTGGGCGGAGTACTTCCATTCCTGCCGCGAGCGCCGTGCGTAGACGTTTTTGCGGCTGGCGCCGTGGGGAGTCAATGTGCCTTTGGAACGGAGTGAAGTCCGCCAACCCATGGGCCTGCCGACTTCTTATCCCCTCAAAGCCAAGCAATTTTTTGTTTATTTATCAAGGGGCGGTTAGCAGAGCCCTCCTTTGCACTGTCCTGCTGGGTGCACGACGGACGGGTTTGATCTCCAGACTCGAACGGTAGTTCACCTGTCCCTTCTAGCAATTGCTTGCTGTAGTGGTCTCTCCTCTCCGCCGCTGTTTGCGCTCTGGGGCCGGGGGGTATCTTCCCCCCCCGCTCTAATTTGCTTTGCGCGCTATGCATGTTTTCCCTCTACGGAGAGTGACTTTTCACATCTGCGTCTTGATTTCCAGTTCCTCATCGCTCCCCCAGGTTCCACATGTCTGCGGTCAGAGTTCAGCTTGATGACCCGCGTGGCTGAACCTCCTCCCTGCGCCCCCCGCTCTCTCTGCGCAGTCCTGCTTCGCGCCGCCCCGGCCAGGAGGGCCCCTGGGGCGCCGCGGTCGGCGCTGCCGGCGCGGCGGCCGCCTCGCTCGCACTGGCGCCCCGGATGGGGCGAGGGGGAGAACGGGGAGGGAGGGTCAGGTGCAACGGTCGGGGGGGATGGGCTTGGGGGTGAGGCATCGACCCCCAAGTGCCCATTGATCGCCGATGCGGGTTTTATAGCCCCAGAGTCGCTATCGGGGGCCTATCGCCGATCTATCGGCGATGTATCGCCGATTCCAGGTCGATGTGTCCCCCCTTGTGCCAGTCCCACCTATCGTTGCCACTCAAGTGAGGGAGGGAGGGAGGGAGGGCGGGAGGGAGGGAGGGAGGGTTGTAGTTGTAGGTAAGTGCCGTTCCGTAGAACGGCCCCCCCGGAAAGTTCGGGGAATCAGTTTTTTAAGGGAGAGCGGAGGAGAGGCGGTGGGTAGGACAGCGGCCTGAAGCCAGCTTCGAGGCGTGTCTAGCCCCAGTCGGTCTCCGAGTCGGAGGCGCTGCCACAGACGGTCGTGGGCTCTCATGCGTCTTTCGCGCAGAGGCGCTCCCCGAGGGCTTGTACCGCGGGGAGCTCCGCTTCGACCGGGCCGCAGTTCCCCCTCCTTCGTTTGCGGTACCCACGTTTGTATATGTTTGGTTACTTCGCCAGGATAGTTGTCAATTGAAGTGCCTCCATGGGGCTCGCATTTTGTGTTATCTATGTGTGTGTATATAGAGATAGATAAAAATGATACCAGAGAGCAGCCCCAATCATAATCTTTTTAGGACTATAGGGGTATAGGGCTATAGGGCTATAGGACCATAGGGTTATAGTTCTATAGGATTATGCGGCTACAGGTCTATAGGCATACATACATATATATATATATATACATATTTATTTATTTATTTATCTAGATCGAGCTGTAGGGCTATAGGGCTGTATGGCTACGGGGGTATAGGGCTATAAGGCTATAGGGCATAGGGCTACAGGGCTATAGGGCTATAGTGCTATGGGGCTATAAGTCTATAGGGCTATAGGGCTATAGGGCTGTAGGGCTACTGGGCTATTGGGCTGTTGGGCTATAAGGCTATTAGGGCTATAGGGCTATAGGGCTATAGGGCAACAGTGCAATAGGGCTACAGGGCTATAGTGCTATAGGGCTATAAGTCTATAAGGCTATAGGGCTATAGGGCTATAGGGCTACTGGCACCCAGGCACCCGGGCACCTGGGCACCAGGGCACCCGGGCACCCAGACACCCGGGCACCCAGGCACCCGGGCGTGCCGCCGAAGTCGGCGCCATAGCTAATTTGAGCATGTGAATCTGCTAGGACCCCTACAGAGGCAAGCTCTGATGGGGGGAAATCAGGGAAGTCTTCGTGCTCAAACTGCGTTGTTGCCCCCCCCCTTGCACTTCAACATCAACGGCTCCCTCCGAATATTTCCTCGTAATTCAGTCAAAGTCGCGCTCTTGTGCGAGAGATCTTGACAATTTACACAGGAATCGCGATCTCGCGCTCCCAACATCGAGGAATCGCGCTCTCGCACGAGAAATTCTTTCACTTTATTCAGGAATCGTGCTCCTAGGGCTTTTGTAGACTTTCACTAAGTTCGCTTCAATGCCCCGCCCGCCCGCCCGTTGGGGCCCGCCCGCCCAACCTGCCCGTCAGGGCCCGCCCGACTCGCCCGCTTGGTTTTGGCCGTTCTCTTCCTTCGAAGCCCGACCGCCGACCGCCCGCTTCAATGTCCCGCCCGATCCGCCCATTGGGGTACGCCCGCCCGACACGCCCGTTAGGGCCCGCCTGCCCGACCTGCCCGTCAGGGCCCGACCTTTCGCGTGCTTGGCAGCCCGCCCGCCCGTTTTGATGCCTCGCCCGCCCGACGCGCACGATAAGGTCCGCCCGACACGCCCGCCCGACACGCCCGACCCGCCCGTTTAGGCTGGCCCGCGTGTCAGGGTCCGCATGCCAAAGTTATTATTCCTCTCTCCACTCCCTCCTGCCAGATCTTCTTCGTTCGCTCTTTATCCTCCTCCCTCCCTCTTGCCCCTCTTCATTTTCGTTTCCTCTCATTTCCTCGCTCTCTCCCTTTCCCTTTTCCCTCCTCCTCTTCCTACTTTAGAGGCCGCGCCAACTGCGCGTGGCAGGCAAGGACGGCATACCACCAAAGGTGGTACGATCGAAGACGAAGAGGGCGGGTATCGAGGGCTTAGGGTGTACATGATGAGTGGCACGCGAGTGCCGAAGAGCGAATAGTTTCAAACTGATTGAGTTCTCATTTCTGAAGACTACCTAATTGTTGATCCCCCCTCACCAGTACCCATGGCATTTTTCAATTGAAGTGCCCCCCCTGGGCTCGCACCCTGTTTTCTAGCACGGGAAGTCTTGATGCTCAAACTGTGTTGTTGGCTCTCGGTATGCATAAGCAACGGCTCTCGCCTGATATTCTGTAACAATTTATTCAAACTTGCTCTCTCGCGCGGGACTTCCTCACAATGTACTTGGGAATCGCGCTCTCGCCCAGGATCTCCGTGTAGTTAATGCAGGCGCCGCGCCCTCGACGCCCAGGAATCGCGCTCTCGCACGAGACTTCCTCACACTTTACTCTGGACTCGTGCCCTTACCTGAGGCTTCTTCGGAATTCACAAAGTTCGCTTCAGAGCCCTGCTCGCCCCACCCGCCCTTGAGGGCTCGTCCGCCCGACCAGCACGTTAGGGCCCGCCCGCCCGACCCGCCTGTCAGGGTCCGCCCGCTCGCCTGCTTGAAGCCCGACCGCCCGCTTGTGTGTCGCGCCCGGCCTGCTCGCTTGGGTCCGCCCCGTTAGGGTCCGCCGCGGTCCGGCCGCCCGACCCGCCCGTCAGGATCCGCCCGCCCGACCTGCCCTTCAGGGTCCGCTTGTCGGCGTGCTTGGAAGCCCTCCCGTCCGCTTGACCGCCCCGCCCGCCCGACCCGCCCGTTAAGGTCGGCCCGCCTGACCCAGCCGTCACGGCCCGCTTGCCAAAATTATGGTTCCTCTCTCCTCCCCCTCCTGCTAAATCATCGTCTCCCTCAATCTTCCCCCCTCCTTCTTGCCCCCTCCTTCCTGGTTTCCTCCTCATTTCATCGCCCTTTACCTTTTCCAGTTCATCCCTCCTATGTAAGAGGCCGCGCCGACTACATGTGACAGGCAAGGAATGTATACCCCTGAAGGGCGTATGATCGAAGACAAAGAGGGCGGGTATCGAACGTTCGGGTTATACATGCTGAGTGGCACGCGAGCAGCGAGGAGGCATCATACTTAGAAAAATTGCTGTTCTTGATGGTAACGGGTGGGGATGTCCTGTATAGCTAGAGTATTAGCAATCGGGTTGCAGCTCGTCTTCATGTGGGCCACATCTCGCCTTCTGTAGCGGCCTAGCAGAGCCCTTATTGGTATAGCAGGAGAAGAGGTTAGTCCGCACCTCGCCTTCGTGTGGCCATATTTTGTATTGTAGGGCTCGTCGGTGGGAGCGCGGATCCATTGTAGTTGGCCAGTCATCGCAGCCTTGTCAGCGTGCATCTACTCTAACGTACGAAAGGATCGTGGCTCTCCTGAGGGTTCATTCAGATTCTTCTGGGTTCCTTAGTATTCTCTGGGGTTCCTCAGGGTTTTGGGGATCCATTCGGAGTCCTTCTTGGATTCCTTGGATCCCAAGGAGTTCTTGAGATTCCTCACGTATCCTATGGGCGCGCCAGCATTCTGTCGGAGTCCGCAGGATCCCCCCTGGTTCCTCAGGATTCCTTGTGATCTCTTTGGCTTCCTCGGGATTCTGGAAGGATTCCCCAGGATGATTCAGGATTCCGTAGGGTCTGTGGAGGGTTCCCAGGATTCCCAGGATTCCTCAGAGCTTCCCAGGATTCTTCAGTATTGCCCGGTATTCCTCGAGGGTCCTCTGAAACTTTTAGGATGCGCATGTAATCTTAGAGAATCTGGTTACCTAGAGATTCCTGTGGATTCTTTCGGATTCCTTGGGATTCCTCTGGGATCTTCAGGGTTTCCCAGGACCCCTTAGTATCCCTGTGAACTCCTCAGGGTTCCGTTGGATAGTGGTGGTTATTTTGGACCCCCCAACGATGAATTCATTAATAGCTGCCCCGCTGCAGCTACCCCACAAGATTCTTACACGTCTCAGTTAGAATGTAGTACGAACTGGGCTCAGCCCAGGCTCCCATAATAAAAGACACGAGAACAGACCCCGCACCTGACTTTCGTGTTGTGTTGCTGTATCGCGCTATTTCTGATTCTTATTAGGGACGCAAGGGATGGAGACATTCCACGCCTCACGTTCGTGTGGTCGCATTCCCATCGCATATCTAGGGCATCCCTGGGCTTGATTATATAATTCTCCTATAGTGTCCCTATCGTTTTCTACATTATCCATTACATATTACTGTGTAGCTCTGGTGGTGTTTCTTTACTATTACTATGGTCCCTCCGTGCACTTCCCATTGGATTCCGATGCCATTCCAATTGTATACCTCTCGTGATTTATGGCGCTGCTCTAGTGAGTAACCCTTAACCCGAACCGTTTCCTCTTACCATCCGTGGTGGTGAAACCCAGACCCGACTGCAAGGTGTAATCCCAGTGGTTGTAACAGTCGTCGTCGTTGTCGTTGTCGTCGTCGTCATCGTCGTCGTCGTCGTCGTCGTCGTCTCAGTCGTCGTAGTTGTAGCAGTTGTGGTGGTGGTCCTAGTAGTAAAATTATTATGTTAGTCTACCAGTAGTGGTGAGAGCAGTGGTTGCAGAAGAAGGAGGATAAGCAGGCCTGACTAAGGCGTAAGGCGCAATAGCTTGAACTTGCAGCGGGGCGGCCAGTGTGGGGGCGCCCACGCCGCTGCTTAGGCACCGAGCTGCGCCACAGCAAGTCCGTCTGCTAAGCTTATGGCAGTAGCCATGAGACTTTGCGATCCCTGAAGGCTCACATCGGCAAGTTCCACATCCACAAAGACAGGATGGTTCACTCGACCAGAAGCTCTATCTGCAGTGGTTGCGCGAAGCAGTTCTATCTGCAGTGGTTGCGCGAAGCACTTCTTCAACAAGACAAGTCTCATGAGTCGCCTACGCCACCGGCAGGACAGCTTGGTCTGCCCATCGGCCGCTCAGATGCCACTGACAGGCGAGGAGCTTGCACACGATTGCGCTCCCGACCACACAATGCCGACATATGAGCACGAGAGGCCACCTGGGACGAGATCAGAGGAGGTGACCACCGCTCTATCCGTCGACATTTTTGATAAGCAGCGCCAAGCAATATGTGAATGTGTCCCCCCCCCGCAGTCGTCCAATAACCATCTCCGCCGCCTCAACCAACTCGCAGGGCTCAGTCGGTCCCGCCGGTCCCGCAGAGCGCGCGCGTGGTTTACTAATTTGCCCACTTCTCCAACGGGCGTCGTCGTGACAATGCCCTGTAAGTCTATCTCGAACCGCTTCGCCATTGCTTGTCAAAGTTTGACGTTCCCAGCGTCGACATCATCTACGACGCTGGCAATGAGTCGGTGCGCGTCTTCTGTTGCCAGGTCGTCCTCGCTAGCTTTTTGCTGGGATGGTCGGCAGGGCCGCCCCGCGATCGAGATCGCTCGTGGGGCGTTCCGTGGGTGTCGGCCAACGACTGGGAGCAACACGATGTTCTACAGCCTCCTGTTCAGGTGTGTGCTCATGATGACACATGTGTCCACTGCGTGCGGAGCGCCGGCGGTCATGGGGCACCCTCAGACGGCCACGTGGGGACCAAAGGCGGCGAGCACGACGGCCAGGCGGTGCCCTGGGAGTGGGGCGCAGAATCCAGCTTTACCATGATGTTGAAGGCAAAGATGAATGAGAGGGAATGGGAGGAACATCGAAGACTCTGATGATGAAGGAGATGATGATGATGCTGATGATGATGCTGATGATGATGATGCTGCTGCTGATTATGATGATGATGATGATGATACTGATGTTGACTATGATGGTGATGATGGTGTTGGTGATGATAAAGGTGGTGGTGATGACGACGACGACAATTACGACGACGGCCACGCGACGACGACGATGACGGCGACGATTACGATTACGATTACGATTGCGATTACGATTGCGATTACGATTACGATGATGATGATGATGATGATGATGATGATCATGATGATGATTATGATGATGATGATGATGATGATGATGATGATGCTGATGATGATGATGATGATGATGATGCTGATGATGATGATGATGATGATAATGATGATGATGATGCTGAAGCTGAAGATGATGCTGATGATGTTGGTTATGATGATGCTGAAGCTGATGATAATGATGCTTATGCGCAACGATGACGATGCCAGCACCGACACCAGCACCGACGCCAGCACCGAGATGAAAACGACCGATCAGGAAGGGGCCACCACCGAAGCGGTAATGACGATTACCGATATGGAAACGACCGATCAAGAGTGACCACCACCGAGGTGGAAATGACCACTACCGAGATGGAGACGACCGATCAGGAGCTGACCACCACCGAGTTGGAAATCACCACTTCCGATATGGAACGACCGATCAGTTGCTGACCACCACCGAGGTGGAAATGACCACTACCGAGGTGGAGACGACCGAGCAGGAGGTGTCCGCCAGCGAGGTGCAGATGACCACTCGAAAAGGAAACGACCGAGCAGGAGCTGTCCACCACCGAGATGGAAACGACCACTGCCAAGAGGGAGTCGACCGTTCAGGAGCTGGCCACCGCCGAGGTGGAAATGACCACTACGGAGGTGGAGACGACCGAGCAGGAGTTGTCTGCCACCGAGGTGCAGATGACCACTCTCGAAATGGAAACGACCGAGCAGGAGCTGTCCACCTCCGACATGGAAACGACCACTGCCGAGGTGGAGACGACCGTTCAGGAGCTGGCCAGGAGGTGACCACCACCGAGGTGGAAACGACCCACTACCGAGATGGAGACGTCCGATCAGGAACTGACCACCGCCGGGGTGGAAATGACCACTACGGGGATGCAGACGACCGACCGGGAACTGACCACCATCGAGGTGCGAACGATCCCTACCGCGACGGCGATAGCCGACCAGGAGGTGGCCACCGCCGAGTTGGAAATGATCACAACCGAGATGCAGACGACCGATCAGGAACTGACCACTCCGAGGTGGAAATGACGATTACCAGATGGAGACGACCGATCCGGAGTTGACCGCCACCGTGGTGGAAATGACCACTACCGAAATGGAGCCGACCGATCAGGAGGTGACCACCAATGGGGTTGAAATGGTGACTTTCGAGTTGGAAACGGCCGCTAAGGAACTGTCCGCCACCGAGGTGAACATGACCACTACCGAGATAGAGACGACCGATCAGGAGGTGACCGCCGCCGAGGTGGAAATGACCACTACCGAGATGGAGTCGACCGATCAGAAGCTGACAACCACCAAGGTGGAAATGACTATTGCCGATCATGCATTACCGAGGTGACGGAGGAAGTCGCGTACCCCGTGTGGCGGCAGATGGTCCCAGAGTTCGACCACGACAGGCACCTCCTCCCCGCCATCAAGGCCAAGGTCCGTGAGTCGCACTTTTGATACGCCCCACCGCCTCCCCCTGGGGGCCCCGCGCCTCGGGTGGCACGGGACCGCTGCGCTCTCCCCCCCCCTCCTGCTGCTGCTGCGGCCTCCTCCCTCCCTCCTCTTCCCCTCTCCCCTGTCGTCGTCGTCGTCGTGCCGCCGCCGCCGCCGCCGCCTCCGCCGTCGCCGCTCCCTCCTCCGCCGCCGCCGCCGCCGTTCTCGTCGTCGTCCTCGTCGTCGTCCTGGTCTCGTCTTCGTCGTCGCTGGCGTCGTTGTCGTCGTCGTCGTCGTCGTCGTCGTCGTCGTCGTCGTCGTCTTCATCGTCGTCGTCGTCGGCGTCGGCGTCGTCGTTGGGGTGCGGTCCTTTCCCTGCCTTGGGCTTGTGGCCCCCCCTGGGGTGGTGGTGTCCGATGGTAGTGGTGTAGTGTTCAGTTCCCCCGCCCTTCGCCTCCTGCGTCCTGCCCGTTTCGGTCACAGCGTTGCTTTGCGTGTTGTTTGTTTTTTATCCGGGCGCTGTCCCCCGATCTCGGGGGCGGCGTCCGCCGCCCACGGGGGGACAGGGACGGTTTGCTCTCAGAGCTTCCCGTGCCTTGCGCCCCACTCGCGCGGCTTCAGAACCTATTTGATCTTGCCGTTCGCTCTCGTCCTCCTGCTTCCTTCTCTGCTTCCTCCTCCTCCTCCTCCTGCGCTTTGCGTTGCATCGGCAACCGTGGCACTAGGTGCCCGCTCATCTGGCGAAGCCGCATGGCCCTTCCAACCAGGCTAATTCGGGGCCTACTTCAGCATGCGGCCCCAGTTTGCACTAGACTCGCGTGGGACTCCTGTGCGCGCGCCGGCTCTGGCACTGCCCAGAGCGTCTGGTCTTCGCACGCGCGAGGTGCTCCGACGAGCATTCGGTGGCTTGTCACTCTCTTATGGCGTTCCCCTCCTTCCCCCTGCTCTCTCCTGCCTCTGGGGTTGCCGCTGTGCGTTTTCAAGTACTGTTTAAGTGGCCGTTTGGGCCGCAGGGTCCGTCGCACAGCGCCCTCCCTTCTGTTTCACGCTCCCTCTGCTGCGCATTATTGGGACAAGATGTGCCCGGCGGTTTTTGTTTAAAAGAAAATGATGACGGTCATGATGATGATAATGACGTCGCCGATGATGATGCTGCTGCTGATGATGATGAGGATGATGATGCTGCTGATGATGTTGATGATGAGGGATAATATCAGGAGGAGGAGGGGGAGGAGGAGGGGGATGAGGAGGATAAGGGGGAGGAGAGCGAGGGGGACGAGTGACCCTCCTCCCTGCTCCCTCCTCCTTCCTCTTCGCTGGTCCCTCCTTCCTCCTCAGTGGTCCCTCCTCCTCCCCCTGGCCCCCAACCCACCTCCTCACTGGTCCCACCTCCTCACTGCCCTCCCAACGGTGCCCGTTCGCCGCAGGCGCGGAGCGGCTTTGGATCCCAGCGCCCGCGCGGCTGCCTCCAGGCTGTGGCCTCGGGTTAACCGCGCTGGACGATGACGATGATGATGTTGATGATGATGATGCTGATGGTGCTGATGATGTTGATGATGATGATGATTCAGGTTATGATGACGATGGCGATGATGCCGATGATGCCTACGACGATGCGACTGATTATGAGGATGGTGGTGGCGATGAAAATGATGATGACGATGCTGATTATGATGATGATGATGATAATTGTAATGATGATGCTGATGATGATGACGATGATGATGATGATGATGAAGAAGCTGATGAAGATGCTGATAGCGATGACGATGATGACGAGGATAATGAGGACGACGATGACGACGACGATGGTGATGACGAGTATTTGTTGATGATAATTATGATGATGCTGATGGTGATAATGGCCATGATGATGCTGATGATGCAGATTTTGATGATGATGTTGATTAGGATGGTGCTATTGATGAGGATTCTGATGATGCGTGCGACGATGCGACTGGTTATGAGGATGGTGGTGACGATGCAAATCATGATGATGATGACAATGCTGATGATGATGATGATGATGATGATGGTGAAGACGAATGGGATGATGACGATGCTGATAGCGATGACGATGACGATGATGATGAGGATGATGAGGACGACGATGACGACGAGGATGATGCTGACGAAGATTTTGTAGATGACAGCGATGATGATACTGATGCTGATGATGCTGATCATGTTGATGATGACTATGATGATGCTGATGATGATGAGGATGATGATGATGATGATGATGATGATGACGATGCTGACGATGGTGGTGATGATGGTGATTATGATGGTGGTAGTGATGATGATAATGATGGGTACGACTATGCGAACGATTATGATGATGGTGGCGACGATGCCAATTATGATGGTAACAACGATGCTGAAGCTGATGCTGCTGATGATGATGATGATGATGAAGCTGCTGATGCTGATGCTGATGATGATGATGATGATGATGATGATGATGATGATGATGATGCTGATGCTTCTGATGATGATGATGATGATGATGATGATGATGATGATGATGATGAGGATAGTGATGATGATAATACCACCGCTGGGTGGTTTCGCACTGTATGGCTCCATGTTGGCCCCCAGATAACGGGTGAATCACTTGGTTTCTCTCACGCAGTTTTCGTGATTAAATGTGTCACCCGGGAATTGGTTCACATTGTATGGCCCCATGTGGGCGTCGGGAATACGACTGAAACACGATTCTTTTTCTCGCATGGTCTTCGGGGTGACGCGTGTCACCGATGTGTTGTTTCACACCGTACGGTCCCATGGTTGCGTCGAACATACGAGTGGAACAATTGATTCTCCTCGGGCGGTCTTCGGGGTGACACGTGACACCCGTGTGTGGTTTCATATTGTATGGCCCCATATTGGTTCCCAGAGTACGACTGGAGCAACTGCTTTATCTCACATGCGTCGCAGTTTTTCCACCCGAAAATATCTGGCCCCATGTCAGCATCCAGAATACGAGTGAAGCAACTCGGTTTTCTCACACGGTTTTCGGGGTGACACGTGTCACCGCTGTGTGGTTTCACGATGTCTTGCCCCATGTTGGCGCGTCCAGGTTACGAGTGGAACAAGTGTTTTTTCTTACACGGTTTTCGGGGTGACACGTGTCACCCTTGCGTTGTTTCACACCGTATGGTCCCATGTTGGCGCCACGAATATGAGTGGAACATTTGTTTTGTCTCACGCGGTTTTCGGGGTGTCACGCGTCACCCCTCTGTGTTTTCAGACTGTATGGCCCCATGTCGGTGTCCAGAATACGAGGGAACCACATGGTTTCTCACACGAACCCTTGCGTTGTTTCACACTGTATGGCCCCATCCTGGCTCCCAGAAACGAGTGGGGCAATTCGTTAATGTCATACGGTTTTCGGGGTGACACGTGTCACCGCTGTGTGGTTTCACAATATCTGGCCCCATGTTGGCGTCCAGAATGCAAGTGAGACAACTGACTTTTCTCTCACGGTTTTCGGGGTGACACATGTCACCCTTTTGTTGTTTCACTTTGGATGGCCCCATGTTGGCGTGCAGGTTACGAGTGGAACATTTGGTTGTTCTCACGTGTTTTTCGGGGTGGCACGTGTCACCGTTGTGTTGTTTCACACTGTATGCCCCCATGTTGGCGTCCAGAATGCGAGTGAAGCACTTGGTTTATCTCACCAAGTTTTCGGGGTGACACGTGTCACCGCTGTGTGATTTCAAATTGTATGGCCCCATGTTGGCGTCCAGGTTGCGAGTGAATCGTTTGGTTTTCACAATGTTTTTTTTCTCGCGGTGTTCGGGGTGACTCGTGGCACTTCTGTGTGGTTTCGCACTGTGTGGCCCAATGCTGGCTCCCAGAATGCGAGTGAAGCAATTGGTTTAGCTCACCCAGTTTTCGGGGTGACACGTGTCACCGCTGTGTTGTTTCACAATGTCTGGCCCCGTGCTGGCGTCCCATTCGGTTTTTTTCTCACACAGTTTGCGGGGTGACACGTGCCACCAGTGTGTTGGTCACACTGTATGGCCCCATGTTGGCGCCAAAGAGTATGAGTGAGATCATTGTTTTTGTTGTCATACGGTTGTCGGGATGACACGTGCCACCGCTGTGTTGTTTCACACTGTATGGCCGCATGTGGGCTCCATGAGACCATCTGTTTTCCTCACACGGTCATTGAACGACTCCTGAAGCCATTTTGGGGTATTCTTGGGGCCCTTCTTGAGATTTCGTTTGGGGTGTTCGGTGTCATCTTGGAGTTTTTTGGGGGGTTTGTTGGGCCCTCCTGAGGCCTTCTTGGGGCTTTCTTGGGGCCCTCTTGGGGGCGGTGGAGCTTCTTGGGGCGCCCTTGGGGCGATCCTGGACGCTCTTGGACCCTTTTCGGGGCCCTCGAGGGGGCCCCTCAAGGGGTTTCAGAGTTCCACTGGACTCGTGAGGGCGTCCGCGGCGGCTTTGGTGGCCGCGTTGGCCGTCGTGGTGGCCATGGTGGCCGTGGAGGCCGTGGCGGCCGTGGCGGCCGTGGTGGCCGTGGCGGCCGCGGTGGCCGTGACGGCCGTGGTGGCCTTGGTGGCCGCGGTGCCTTCTTTGGTGCCTTCTGAGAGCTCGGGGAGTTGATGTGTAGTCGTCCTCCCGAGATAAGGGAGGGGAAGCATGAGTGCCCAGCATGTAGCGAGGTACGTATATGACAGAGCGCCGTGATCGCCGCTTTGGCTCAAGCCATTCAGTGACAGTGAGTAGCCTCACCCGAGTGCGAATCCTGTTTGCGGCGGCAAGCCTCTCCTCCCCATCATTCCATATCAGATAATCCAGATTATCAGAGTCACGACGATCCTCGTGGTCCTCTCCCTCTTCGTGGCCCTCAGGGCCAACAGGGCTCTCAGGACCGGCACGCTGGGAGTGCCAGTATCACCACTATCGGCGGACGCGCTGATAGACGACGACGGCGGCGAACCTCTGGAGGCGTTGTCCCAGGAGGAGGAGCGAGAGGAAAACAACTTGGTAGCGGAGCAGGTGCGATCCCGTGCCTGCTCCCAGGACAACATACCACTGCGCTACTACGACTACGTCATGGCGAACGCCCCGCAGATGAACGGTGGCATACCAGCTGGACCTCATATCATGCAGTCCAATACGAAGACGCCACCGAGCTGGGACCCCGCAAGGGAGTCCTCATATCCACTCAGAGATTGGATCACGGACATCCGCATGTGGGAAGCTATGACAGATATACCGGCACGCTCGATCGCTCCGGCCGTGGTCTTGCAGCTATCAGGATTGGCCAGAGAGATATCGAGAGAAGTGCCGCCATATCAATTACAAGACGGAGTTTACATGGACCTCCGTGACGGAGCTGGACATCGATGGTGTTCGGGGCTGGACCTACTGATTCACGGGCTGCGACGCAAGTTCATGCCACTGGAGGTGGAGACCGCTATCGCGAGCATTACGGACCTGGTTGCTTTTCGTCGACGGCCAGGCGAACCGATTGACCAGGCTTTGGCTCGATTCGATCTTCTGAAGTTCAAGGCTGAGCATCTGGGAAATTTCCACATGGGAATTCCGAATTTGGCTTGGATGTTACTCAATGCTCTGGGTATTCCACCGCCACAGTGGGCTCAATTTCTGGCACCAACGGGAGGTAACTTACCAACGAATGAACAGGAGTTTTCAAGTCTTACCTCTTTTATCAGGCGTCAGAATCATCTTTACGAACGGAGTGGACTTGCGCAGGCAGCTCATCAATCCAGGCATCAGCATTTCACAAACCCCACAGGCTCCGGTGACGGTTTCTACTTCACGGACAGTTCACAGGACACGGGCACCCAAGTGGGAGTACCACCGCCACCGATGCCCTACTACCCCAGCGCATCGTCCTCGTCGAGGTCAGGTGTGCCACTCGGCGGAGTTGCTGGGGTATCGAATGGATCAAATACAGAAGGATGCTGGTGCAGCAATTGCCAATAAGATATTCTACGACCGGGAAGACCCGGACTCCACCGAGACGAGCGATGATGACGGCAACGATTTGGCGGAGTTGACCTTCCACATCAGTGCCCAGATGAGCGACAGCGATCTGTATGAAGTATACGCTTTGGCCAAGAAGCACTGGAGGAGGCGAGCGGACAGACTTCCAAGGCGTCGTAGATACAAAGGCAAAGGCAAGGGCAAGAAAGGGGTCAGATTTCAGAGAAGTAGTGGATGGTCTTTTCTTTCTGAAGCGGGAGACGGAGCTCTTTGCCCCGGGTGCACGTGGAACACCCATGAATACTACAAGGGCAAGGGCAAGGGCGAGAAGACCAACCCGAGAGGCGCGAACGGACAACCACTTCGATGTGACCACTGCAACAGCGAGAAGCATCTATGGAGGAAGTGTGACGCTCCGGGAGCTGACGATTACCGACGAAAACGGGCTACCTCAGGAGGAAAGGGTTATGTGACGACAGAAGGAAATATGAGTACAGGAGGAGCCCAACCAGCTTCAAGTTTCTCCAGCGCGTTGCAGCACTGGCAGCAACTCACGGGCCAACCGGCAGCGTCAACGGCGACCAGACACTTCTTCGCCATGCCGAGCAACATGGAGTCACAGGTGGACGTGTCCAAGGATGACGAGAAGGAGTACGAGGACAGCTACTACCCGGACGTGGAGGAGGAAGGCTCGCGCCTGTGCGAGTCGCATGCACGGCCGGACCTTCAAGAGGGGGTCCGCCGTGACTGTGCTTCATCCGCATCCTGGGATATGCTATCGACTCCCTCGGAGTTCGTGGACATCGGCAACGAGACGATTCAGATGATTGAACAGGCGAAGGCTCGGATCATAGATGACCCGGACACGGAGGCAACTCTTGGAGAACCTCGGTCCAGCGACGAGCAGATCGACTCAGGAACCAAGCCCGCTGGATTGAAGTGGTTTGTGGGACCGGTGTTCGAGCGATACGATGAGACACGACAGGTATTTCTAGAGGCGACACGAATTGATGGTAAGGAGTGCCTACTGATAGATCCAGGTGCGTATGACAATTTGGTGGGTGACAGATGGGTTATGCGAATGGCAGCTCTGGCGAAACGGGCATGTCTGGAACCGACGCAACGTCGGATGGATCAATCGATCGGGGTTGAAGGAGTCGGTACCAATGCTCAGATCGCCAAGGAGGAGGTGACGATGCCAGGCGCAGCCAAGGACGAACGAGGCAAGGTGCATCAGATAAGCTACAAGGCCCCAGTGGTTCCCGATTCCGATATTCCCGCTCTCTGGGGAAAGCGTAGTCTGAAGCACAACAGGGCGGTGGTCGACATGATCAACAACAAATTGTACCTGTGTGGCCCTGGAAGAGTACAGTTCACACCACCGCCGGGGGCGCTCACCTTCAATCTAGAGGACTCGCGATCAGGACATCTGCTGTTGCCTATCTCGCATTTCTTCGGCAACGGTAAGGACAAGAAGGTGCGCGCGAAGCAGGAGCCGGCCACCTGGCATGCGAGTGCGCCGGCGATCGTCAAGCCCACGATCAAGGATAAGGCGAAGGAGGACGAGGCAGACACGCCGACGCATGAGCCGTCACCGGCCACTCCCTCGGCGCCTGCGGTGCACTGAGGGCGCGGACCGCCGCTACCAAGCGGCGGCGGTGCCGCAGGAAACCATGTAGCTTGGCATCTGGACGTCCCCGAGCAGGACCCTGAGATCATAGTGATAGACGAGGGCAATGGCCATCCGATCCGCACGAAGCTGCTGAGTCAGGCCAACATCACCTACACCCGCCTAAGTCTTCTGCGCACCTCGACCATGGAGCATATTCTCCGACTCTTGGAGCGAGGGAAGTGTCGAGGTGTTTGGATGCGATTACATTCTCTCATACCAGACGTTACGAGACGACAAGGGAAGACCCGAAAACAAAGACAAATATTGATGGCGACCTCCATGCTCATCGCGCGCTTGATTCAGCTTCGGTGCGTGCTGGTGGTCGATTCTCAAGCTACGAATGAGGCCTGGCAGGAGGATGATATTCTCAGAGCGACGGCAACGACACTGCCAGGATATCGGATGACAGATCATCGATGGTGCAGCTACTTAACGTCGGGCAGAGACATGGCCCCGACGACCAGCCAGAGATTCTTTTCCAACCTGGACCTGCTTCCCGACTCGTGCAGCTGTGGTTGGAAGATCTCAGATCACCGCAGATCGACAGGGTTGGAACACGTTCAGCTTGAAGGTCAGTTTATGACCGCATTTTGGCAGAACCGACTTCGAGACAAGCTAGTCGATGCGGTTCGAGGAGAAGTACGTGACGACAAGGACACGGATCGAGATGCACGATATCCGCAGACGGGATTGGATGAGCCCGTTGACTCCCACATGGTGGTAACGAAGTCGAAGGCGGTCAGCTTCTATCCGACCGACTCTGCCAAGGCCTACAAAGAGAAGTTGAAGTCCAGGAAGGCAGAGGGACACGAACCGAAGAAGAAGGTCAATCATATTCTAGATCCCGAAGTCATGGATGACTGTGGCGAGGACCTCGGAGAGCTCAACTACCTACGGAACGAGGAGGTGTGCTGGTGGGAGATGCCGAACAACGAAGTGGAGGATTACTATCTGGAACCTAGCGAGTTCAAGACGGATGATATCATCGGAAGACTTCGAGATGACCGTCCGCCAGATCGAGAACGACACTTCCTTGGCATCCCATCGGGCCGATCCTTCCTGAATCACATAAAGCAGACCGAGAATAGTTTCTTCGTTGATGTGGCCGAAATCATGGGAGGAGAAGGACGCACCACTCAACTACTCGTTCGACGACATTACGCGGGAGGTCGTAACTTTGATGCTCTCATGGGCGTAGATCTTCTCCAGCGTGACGAGGAAATGGAGCTCTACCAATATCTGAAGGAGGAGCGACCCTTTGTGTTGGTGATGGCTCCTCAATGTACTGGCACAGCTGGATGGTGCACGGTCAACGAGTCGATCGGCAGCTAGGTGCACCGTCGCAATGCGGAGGTCTATTTCAGGCTAGGACAGATTTGTGCGAAGGCGGCTCACATTCAGCTGGGCGGAGGACGCCACTACGTCAATGAGTTGCCGAGGGGAAGCCGCATTTATCGAACTCCAGAATGGATGGGTCTGGCGCGGAAGAATCTTACTTGGGTTCAGTTCAACATGTGTATGCTGGGACTCGTCAACTCGAAGAAGGAGCCCTTGAACAAGCCGGAGGAGGTATGGGCGAGTCACGAGGTGCTGATCTATCGGCTGCGTTCCAAGGAGTGTGATCGACAGCACCGGCATGGGGAATGCTCTGGACGTGTAACCAAGCCTTCACAGGTATGGACATGGCAATTCGCTCGTATCTTGGCCGATGGCATCTCAGAGTTGATATGGCTTCACGAATTGGACTTGAGGAAGCTGATCTACCCAGCCGTGGCGGCGTACCCGAGGATGAACGGCGAAGGAGTACCCGCTCCTATTGACCATCCTCCACCTGGACTACCAGCCCCCGCAGCAGCGGCAGCGGCAGCAGATGTACCTCCGCCACCACCCGCGCCCGAAGAAGGGTTGGATCCGCGTGCTCGTAGGGCAGCGATCGGACCTCATCTCTGTCCCGGATGTCGGAGAAATCGAGTCAGCACACATCCGACACACAACCGCGTCCCTGGACAGTGTCGACATCCGCTGGTACAGCCGCTGGAGTACAACTGCCCCGCGTGCAGAACGGGTCGGGATCGGCACGACCCCCGCCGCACTTTCGACGCAGACTGTCGCCTCCTCATGGACGAGCCCAGAATGATTGGGACGAGAAGATCGGGATCCGCTCATGCGCGGGATCCGCGAGTACCGGCAGCACGAGCTGCGGGTGCTGGTCATCGAGTACATCCCCGAGCAGGAGAAGAAGAGGAGGACGCAGCACCACATCCTGAAGCCGGACCCTCAGGTGCTGCTCCTGCCGCAGCTATGGAAGGCGATGATGACGTACAACCTCATCCTGAAGCTGGACCCTCTGGAGCGGCCCCGGACGCAGTAGCGGAGGAAGCCATTCTTCCTGCGGGAGAACCAGGACCTCCGGCCAGGGCTATGGCCCAGATCGACACAGGAGCGGACTGGACGCAGTGGGACATGGGACGTGCTATTCAGGGGCTGAGATCAGCGGTTCCTGGAATGGTGCAACGTACTCTACGTCGCATGCATATACGACTATGGCACGCTCCGGCCCAACGACTACGGGACCTTCTTTCGGCCGCGGGTCTACCGCGAGAAGTGATCAATATGGTGCAGGACGTCGTGGACACTTGCACCGTCTGTCGGGAATTGCAGCGACGAGGCGAAAAGTCGGTGACAAGTTTGACGTTCACCACGACCTCCAATGAAGGAATTCAGTTTGATCTGCTTTTCCTGGACGACGGTATCGTGGTGCACTTGATCGATATGTGTATCAGGTGGGCTCAAGGGCTCTTTGTGAAGTCAAAGGAGCCGGGTGATGTTCCCCCGGCCATCACTCATATTTGGTTCCGAGTCCACGGTCCTCCGAAGTTCATCACCTCGGACCAGGAGGGAGCATTGTTCTCGGATGAAGGAGCTATTTGGGCAGATCGATGGAAGGTGGACTTGAGACCGAAGCCCAAAGGAGCACATGCTCATGTTATTGAACGGAGGAACGACTTACTTCGGACACAGTATCACCGAGTTCGAAGTCAAGCAAATGAAGAAGGCATCCGAGTTTCGAAGGAAGAGTTGCTGGACGAATCTTTGTTGGCCATGAACACCCTCTTGAGCGTTCACGGGACCACGCCATACGCGGCTTTGTATGGTCGGGTTCCGAACATTTTACTGGAGCTCGGAGGGGGAGGATCTGAGTTCGACGACGAGTCTGGAGGCGCAGTGTCTCGTCATGTCCATCGAGTCAGGGAGTTGGCCCTGGCCAACATCGTGCAGGGCAACGCGCAGGAAAGGCTGAAGATAGCGGCTCGAACGCGAACGAGACCAGCGGCTCAGCTCGGAGATCTTCGTGTAGGGGACTCGGTCGATATCTTCCGGGACCCGCCGAACAAGGATGTCACTGGCTGGCGAGGACCCTGCAAGGTAGTTGCCATGGATCGAGCTGATGAGGGCATCATCGATGTACGATGGCAGGGTCGCACGCTGCCGTGCCGCCCAGCCGATGTTCGCAAGGCAGTGACATGGTTGACTCTCATGGCGGCTCCTTGCCGCGGTGACACCAAGCCGTACCAGCTCTTAGTATACTACGTGGAGAACATGGCGGCGGGCACTACGTTACTCCTGGGATATGAGATCGGCGAGGATGGACACTGGAGGATGACGAAAACCAGTCGTCGGCTGTCGACTCTGACGACGGCAGCTTTCCACGTGGCCGCCTGCGACTTTCAACTATATGGAGTCGTGGCCACGAGACTAGGGTACGGTTCGCGAGAAGTTCCAGCTGCCCGAGGACATCACACGTGCATGATCGTATGGTGGCTTCCAGGAGAATCGATTGGCTATCACCACGCAAGTTTCGATCCTCGAGCGAAGGCGAGTACACAACATCTGATGGGGCCAGGCTTTGGACGCGTGTGCTGGGTGCTGTTTCTAATGGTGGAAATTTCTACGGCCGAGGTCTTGCGACAGATTGACGTTCACGTACCACTCGTTGGAGGTCCTCAACAGATGCCCGACTTTCCAGCACCACGCGGTCAAGTACGGCCTCGCGACCCGCATGACGTGGAAGAACGACCAGATCGATGGCATCGCTGGCCCACACCAGAGGCCACCATCGACGAGGAGTCAGAGGCATCTGAGCCTCACGCTCAAGGGGTGGCTCATCCCCGAGATGCGGAGGCGGACCCCGAACTGCTAAGACCTACGTGGCGACCATTTCAACAGCCGTATCGGATAGAGCCAGACGCCAACTCAGATGTGCAGGACCTGTGGCTGGAACCCTGGGATCCCGGATGGATGCGACACGTGAGGACAGAGTTCAGCTTCTTTCACGCTATCCTTGACAGCAATCACCGCCGGACGCTGAGTACTGGTTGGATTCTCGAGTGTTGGAAGCTGTTGAGGTGGCTACTTATCTTGAGAATACAGAGAGGGAGATGCAAGTTCTGGAGGTGTTCGACGAGAGATTTCCAGGCTTGTGATCATGACCACCGATGCGCACGACTTGCCCAAGTCTGAGATCTTCTCTCTCTTTGCGAACGACGAGGGCCATCGCGTTATTCTGTCCGTCAACTCGACGGGGAAGACCAATATGGTTATTGAACGAGAGGCTGACGAACTCAACAAGGATGACCTGATCAAGCATCGAGTGGAGGTGGAAAAGGCTATGTCGAAGGAGCTAGGCAACTGGATTGAGTTGGGCGCGCTCAAGCAACGAAGCAGGCTAGGGTGCACCAACTTGATGGACTCTCGATGGGTTATCCGTTGGAAGAAGCAGCCAGACGGTAAGTTGGCAGTCAAAGCACGACTATGCATCAAGGGCTTCAAAGATCTACAGCAGGATCGTTTGGATACCTTCAGTGCGACCGCCTCGAGGCAAAGCCAGAGGATAGTGAATTTCTTCGCGGCAAGTCGCCCCAAGTGGGTGTTGTGGTCTTGACGTTGGCAGCGCATTTCTGAAGGGACTTACATTTCAAGATGTGGCAGATATGACAGGGGAGCCCCTCAGAACTGTTCAGTTGGACCTGCCCAAGGACACAGTAAAGATCGCAAGGCAGTTTGAACCATTATCCAACTATGATGTGAGTCGGCACTGCTTGGAGATGGTGCGTCCAGGTTTCGGTCTCAAAGATGCGCCAATGTTATGGAATCTCAGGCTAAAGCAAGTAATGACGAAGCTTCAACTATTGCCGTTGGTGACCGATTCCCAATTTTACTGCAAATGGGCTGGCTCTCGATGTGAACCTGTTCCTCGTGAGCTAGTACCCATGAACGCGGACAAGGACAAGGCCCGAGGCACAGACGTGTCATTCACCGACCCGGAGATAGCGATCGAGGACTTGCAGATGGTGTGCAGTACACACGTGGACGACCTCAAGGGCGCCTCGACCGAACCGATTGCTGACGCCTTTATGGATGCTCTCGAGTCGGAGTTCGGAAAACTCACAAGGCAGAAGAGAAGGTTCGAGCACTGTGGCGTTGTTCATGATCAGCATGAAGACGGATCGGTGTGGTGCTCTCAGGATCACTACGCGGCTCAACTTCGGCCGATGCAGGTAGACAAGATTCGGGCTGATGAAGAAGCCCTCGATTCCCAAGACCGAACTTCATTTTGGTCACTCTTGGGTGGAGCAGCCTGGATGTTAGTCACGCGAGAAGATGTTGCAGTCCATATTGGATACCTACAACGACACGCTCATGAACCTTGCTGGAAACATGTTCGACACTTGAACTCAGTTGTACGCTGGATCAAGAGAAAGAAGAGTTCGCTTGTTTATTATTCAGTACCTCTACCATGGAGTGTTGTGGGTTTCCCCGACAGTGCTTTCCGGGCGACCGGGCCGGACTGCCTAGCTGTGAGAGCGGCAGTTATCGCGATTGCTGGTCGGGATTTCATGCCAAAAGGGGGACTATGTGCAGCAGTGGAGTTCTACTCACGAAAGCAACCTCGAGTATGTCGTTCTACTTTCTCGGCGGAGCTGGCAAGCGTGGATGATGGTATCAGCAATGCACTGTTGACGCAAGTGATGGTGTGTGAGATCGTTCACGGCCCTTTGACGGCGAAACAAATTCAGAGATGTATGGATACAGGAAGGCTACCAGTTGATTTGCATGTCTGCACGGACAACAGGGGCCTGTTCACGGCGCTGGGTGCGACAGAACTGAAGGCACCAGCGGAACCTCATCTTTTATATTTACTGCGCGCTCTACGCGATAGACTTGAAGCAGGTACTCTCTGTAAGCTCTGGTGGGTGGACACTAGAGCCATGATCAGCGACGCGTTGACCAAGGGTGGACTGGCTCGAGAACCTATCTTGAAGTTGTGGGAGACGGCAGTGTTGATGGTAACTGGAGATGAACCCCTGGCTCTGTGTTTGCGGGGTCCTCACAAGGATACCAGTGAGTGGGAATATCAGAGAATCGTGATCTTTGCATATTTCGATGGATTGCAGGATTTTCAGCGAAGATTGGTTGACTGTATTTGCAGGGAGAATATTTTCCCATTCTCTTGTGTCTACGCCGTGGTAGACCGTATACGTGGCTTGCTCGAGATTTAGTGTTTCTCGCTGTATTTCATTCTTCAATCACTGCTATTCTTTGTTCATGGCAGTATACATCAATATTGTCTGCTACTGTGGTATTGGCAGTAGCTTCCGAGGTGTTCTTTGTGAGTTTACTTCAGCCGTCTTTCCCCCTTTTTAGCCTCTGGAGTTCCCGTGTTGTGTTCAGGGTGCTCCAACACAGATCGTTGTATTTTTTTGGTGACTTGCCTATCAGAGGTCGGTTGCCAGTGGCGGGCCAGCCGCAAGAAATGATCTGCTGTGCTCTCAGTGCGTGTGCGTGGGATCAGCTCGTAGACTTTCGCTGCGTTTTCCCACCCCGAGTTGATGTGTAGTCGTCCTCCCGAGATAAGGGAGGGGAAGCATGAGTGCCCAGCATGTAGCGAGGTACGTATATGACAGAGTGGCGTGATCGCCGCTTTGGCTCAAGCCATTCAGTGAGTAGCCTCACCCGAGTGCGAATCCTGTTTGCGGCGGCAAGCCTCTCCTCCCCATCATTCCATATCAGATAATCCAGATTATCAGAGTCACGACGATCCTCGTGGTCCTCTCCCTCTTCGTGGCCCTCAGGGCCAACAGGGCTCTCAGGACCGGCACGCTGGGAGTGCCAGTATCACCACTATCGGCGGACGCGCTGATAGACGACGACGGCGGCGAACCTCTGGAGGCGTTGTCCCAGGAGGAGGAGCGAGAGGAAAACAACTTGCGGGGCCCTGATCACGCTGATCTGTCTCGAGACCGCCGCTGGCTGTGGCACGTC